GGCCTCTCTCCGGGCAATCAAAGGCCATGTGTCCCTCCTTCCTGCAGTAGTAGCAAATCCTCTGACCAGCTAAGCACTGTCCCCCGTGAGTCCGGCCGCAGTTGCCACAGAGTGGCCGAGCTCTCGGAGTCTGCTGTACTGGCTGACGGGCACCTCGTCCACCATTTCCTCCCTTCTTGTTCTGCTGGTTCTTCTTCTTGCCTTCAAACTTTCTCTTACCGCCACTACCAGACGGCTGGGCAGAAGACTGCTGATAAACGGCTGGCTGCACCTGGACTTGCTGAAACGAGGGTGGCTGCACAGAAACTGGCTGAATCATCCTGGGCTGAGCCACTGTCTGCTGAGCTGCGTCTAACTCCAGACGCTGACTAGCCGTTATCTGCTGAGCTCTCAGAATGGTCTCCGCATAGGTCAGAGACCCATGGCTACTCAGCACGAAGCGAGGTCCTTCTGCAGCCCGTTCAGGAAATGACGGGACTTCTTAAAGTCAGTGTCCACCATGTGCGGGGCAAAGTGGCTCAGTCTGGTAAATTCAAGCTCATACTCCTCTACGGATAGGTTTCCCTGCTGCAGGGCATAGAACTGCCTCTCCATCTGCTCCCGGAAATGATAAGGGTAGTACCTCTCCGAAATAAGGAGCTTCATTTGCTCCCAGGTCATAGCATCTCTCTCGGCTGTAGTCTTAAGGCGCCAAACATCTGACCACCATCTACCCGCATCCCCTATCATCTGGAAGCAGGCACAGACAATCTTCTCCTGGTCTGAGTAGTTAAGGACCTCAAAGATCCTCTCGAGGTTCATGAACCAGTCATCAACTGCTTGTGGCCCGTCTGCCCCGGTGAAAGTTGGCGGGGACATAACACGAAACTGACCCATGATCTGAACACTGTTTTGCCCCTAAGTAGGAGGGGGTTGCTGGAAGACAGGGGGATGCTGATGAGGTGGGGGCTGCTGAAAGATCGGTGGTTGCTGCTGATTAAGAGGGTCTGGCTGCTGGTCGCCGCCCCTACCTCCTCGGCCTACTCGTCCCCCTCGTCCGGCTCTACCCCTGCCTCTTCCTCTGGTTGCCATAAGCTGGCAGAAATAGAGGAAACTTGAATTTAACGAAGGAGATCTAACTGGAGTTATAAGAATTTGAGAGGAGAATGTTCTAGGCCCCAAATCTAACTTATAATTATGCATGTCACAGAAATGCACAACTTAGACATCTCGAATACTTAACTACTAAACTTACCTCGAAGCTGGAGCGGCACGGCAGAGGCGGGTGGTCATATACATACTCAATGTGTAAGTGAATTCTAATATCGTTATATTTGCTCAAGTTTTTCACATAGTGATCAGATTCCATCTTTTCTATTTATTACTTTTTCCAGATTTTGTTTATTTAATTCTATTTGCAATCCTTATTTACATGTATGGTACATGATTTAATAAAGGTATTATAAATAGTCTAGGAAATTATGAATTTAAATGATTTTAAAATCACATGCGCATATTGACATTTCACATGGTAAATATATTTATATAAACGTATATATCAATGTTTTAAATAATATTTTATTTTACTTTGAAAAGTTATTACTGCAAATTAATATAAATGCACTAAAAATACATTTTGGTTTAAAAAAAAAAACAATGGCAAGATTTAAAAAAGTGATTTGTTTTTTTATGACTACTTTTAACAGTAATGCTCACCTACCCACGGTGGGCACATGCTAATACGCCCACCGCTTATGTGGCATGCATACATTGGTGATGTTAATATGCTAGAAAAATACATCACCAATGTGTGCATGCCACATAAGCGGTGGGCATTTTAACATGTGCCCACCGTGGGTAGGGGAGCATTATCCTTACTTTTAAATCTTTTTGTCGCATCTTCTATGTTCAATTTATTTTTCACACATATATGAAAAAAATTGTTTGGTATTTATACGTAAGGAGATGTAGCTCAATGGTATAATCATCCAAGTTTGAGTATGACATGATCGGGGATCGAAACCCCGCATCTCCAAATATACATTTTTTTTTTTTGTAATTTACAAATTTTATATGTATTCAATGTGTAAGTGAATACCAATATCGTTATATTTGCTCAAATTTTCACATAGTGATTGGATTCCATGTTTTCTATTTATTAGGTTTTCCAGATTTTTCACTTTGTTATTTAATTCTATTTGCAATACTTATTTACAAGTATGGTAAATGATTTTAATATAGGTATCATAGATATGCTAGGTAATTGTAAATTTAAATGATTTTAAAATCACATGCGCATATTGACATTTCACATGGTAAACAATTTATATATATATATCAATTTTTTAAATAACGTTTTATTTTATTTTGAAAAATTAATACTGCAAATTAATATAAATGCACTAAAAATACATTTTATTTTAAAATAAAAACAAT